AAATAAAGATGTGAATAATTTAAAGTAAAAATAATAAGGGTATTCATGAAACACGTGTGCAAACTTGCACAAATGACTATCTGTATTATTTAGAAGAGAAAATTTAGTTTAAAATGATCAGTTCAAATGTATCAGTGTTGTGTAAGTAAAATCCCATACAAATTGTGTCAAATATAATGTAAAAACGAAAATGCACAATTTGCGAAGCTTTTGGAAGCTTATATGAAAACCCTTAATGTATTATTGATTATATTTTAAAACTTATATAAGACATTGTCTATAATATAATGCCTATTCGCAATGCCTATTAACAATGGCTATTTGCAATAATAGTTTACATATTTTGTTACAGATATAGTTTCGCAAACTACTAAATTTTTACCACACTAGCTAAGTTACCGAGGGGAAAATTACAAACCTATAAAAAGAAATCGCCAATTAAAATTTCACGTGAAATATGTTCCCTTTTCACATTTTTCGTTCACTAACTTTTTTGTCGTGAAAAAAATTCCCCTGTTGTGAAATTTGTTAATGGAATTTTGTAAACATTGAACAGTTGTTGCATACAAAATCAACTATTGTGAATGAATTGTTCACAACAAGTTCACGATAGCAATTTTCCCTTCGAGGGAAATGAAAATTTCAAGTATAGGGGTGAATAAAAATACTGACAAATCTTTATATTAAAGACCATTAATATTACAGATTTAAACAAAAATCCTATTACTAAATTCCAAATAATTTAATGAAAAATAACTAAAACTAAATGATCTTGTAAAACAAATGAAAAAATCTTTAAGACATTTAATGAAATGCAAAAAGGGAAAAACTAATTTAAGAAAAAAAATGTTCTAAAAATCTTTTAAATTTAAAAATCTTTTTAAGGATAACATTTCGAATAATAGTCAACAACAATCATGCAAAATTAAAAAACAAAAAAACTCAAAAAACTTTCAACTTTTAAAAGAAAACGAAAATCATTTAAAAAATGTAAACAATTTGAAACAACATGGTTATAACGCATTCAAAAATAAAAGTTTATATGAAACTTGATTAAATGATTGTTGTTTTTTATATGTATTTACTCGATTTAGTCTGATTAATTGAAAAGAAAATAATAATGACCTTCAAATGTTTAACTTTTTTATTTTGGATTTTCTTTGGAAAACGTTTAACTTATCCACTTCCAAGGTTCAGTATCGGGACTTGTTATAGGCGTAGTGGTATACTATAATATAATTAAGAATATAGCAATATAAAAAAATACATAAAAACATACAAACAAAATTGTTTTTGTTTTCAAAAGGTGGTGGTGTAAACAAAAGAATTTTAAATTTTTAATAAAATCTAACAAAATTTATTTTCAAACAAAAAATAATAATAAACAAAACAAACAAAAAAGAAAAGTGTATCAGTTGTAGGGTGAATTTGGGTGATTTATAAGTAAAGAGTTGTGATAACATTGTGGTATGAATATGATGATAAAATAGCTTAAAATGTGAAGTGATAGGCGATCTTATAATTAAAAAAAAAACGAAAAACAGAAAAACCAACTAAATATTTAAAAAAAAAGTGAACAATTATGATTTATGTTTAAACGGAAATGTAAATGATGTAAGTGTCAAGAACCAAAACCAATTTTTTTATATGTAAAGTGTAGGTGATAAGAAAATTGTTATTATTCTTTATGTACACGAACGAGGAGGATGAAAAGGTTAGAAATGATTATTAACCAAAAAATATATAATTGCTTTGGACAAGGGTTTGAGGGTCAATTGTATAATTAAAAAAAACAAATTGTGCTGAAAACTAGAACTTACCTCGGCTTTTAAGTCGGCGATTCTGTCCTGCAGATCACGCACTTTATCAGAGTCATCTAAATTGGAACGTAGTTCACCTTCGGCTAACATTTCGGAATTCTAAAAAAAAGCAAATAAAAAGAACAAAATTTAAACCAACAACAAAAAACTAACCAACTTATTCGAAGGATAAAAGGTTAAACTTTTACAAAATGTTAAAATGTATATAGCAGGTTTCCATTTAATACATTACCTTAGTTTCTAATCTGGAAATTTCCTGTTTCAATTCAGCTACTGTTTGAGACTGTTCGGTGAATTTAATTTTTACATTCATCAATTCATCCTTCATGCGAGATTCCAAATCAGAGTATCTAAATATAAAACAAAACAAACAAAATTAAATATTTCTATTTTAATACAAATATTCTTTTCTAAATACCTATGTTGCTGTTCTCTAGCCTTATTGGACATCTCTTTTTCACGTGTCAATGCCATATCTAATTCCTCCTTAATCTTTTTATTCTCCTCATCTTGACGTCTCAGCTGATTGGTTGAGACCTGCACTTGTGTCTCCAACTCCATTACTTTCAAACGCAACTCTTTCAGTTCGGTTAATGTTTCCATTTCTCTAATGCGTGTAGTCATTAGTTCCTCTTCCAATTTCTGGGTATGTTCATTTGATTTGGAAGAATCAAATAGATTTGTTAGCAGCTTTTTGGGTGTTGAATCCACTGGATGTGAATTGTGATCATTGCGTTGTTCCTGCAATTGTCTTTGCCATTGAGTACTTAGTTCTTGTACTCGCTGTTTGAGATCTTTTAACGAGAGACTGGCTTCTGCCTCTCTCAGTTTACTGGCTATTAGTTCGTCCTGTAAATGGGCAACTGAATTGTCGGGCGTTGTTTCGCGCAAAGTCTTTTTATCCTCTTCTAATTCCTCTATTTTGGTTTTCAAATTACGTATTTGATCTTCACTTTCGGCCAAACTTTGTCGTACCTTAACCAATTCCTCTAGGAGGCAAGAGACCATTTCATCGCGTTGTTTAAGAGCCTCCTCTTTCATACACAATTCATCGAGAGAGGATTGACGTGAATTGTTCTATAGAGATTTTTTAAAAGGATTTTATTAGTATTATAGATTTTGCGATTATATTTAGTTTTAGACATGCTCCAAATAATAATCTGCTTTTTATAATAAAAAAATCTTTATATATTTTTTTTTAAGAAAACTAATTTTAACAAAATAAGCATGATTATTTTATGATGATTTAAAGCTTTTAATAAAAAAATTTAAACCAATAAATACTAAAATATACATACATTTCTTTAATTTAAAGGATTCGTTAATTATTTTAAAATAATTATACAAATTTTTAGAAGTAAAAAAGTTAATTTATATGATAATTAAAAAATAAGTTTAAAACACACTAATGGATGATATGTAGATAAATATGAAAATATACTTCAGCACATATCACCTGCAAGTTGCAAAGCAAGACGATCAGTTCTCTATTTATCTATCTATCTATCTATCTATCTATCTATCTATCTATCTATCTATCTATCTATCTATCTATCTATCTATCTATCTATCTATCTATCTATCTATCTATCTATCTATCTATCTATCTATCTATCTATCTATCTATCTATCTATCTATCTATCTATCTATCTATCTATCTATCTATCTATCTATCTATCTATCTATCTATCTATCTATCTATCTATCTATCTATCTATCTATCTATCTATCTATCTATCTATCTATCTATCTATCTATTTATCTATCTATCTATTATCTATTTATCTATTTATCTATTTATCTATCTATCTATCTATCTATCTATCTATCTATCTATCTATCTATCTATCTATCTATCTATCTATCTACCTATCTATCTATCTATCTATCTATCTATCTATCTATCTATCTATCTATCTATCTATCTATCTATCTATCTATCTATCTATCTATCTATCTATCTATCTATCTATCTATCTATCTATCTATCTATCTATTATCTATCTATCTATCTATCTATCTATCTATCTATCTATCTATCTATCTATCTATCTATCTATCTATCTATCTATCTATCTATCTATCTATCTATCTATCTATCTATCTATCTATCTATCTATTCTATCTATCTATCTATCTATCTATCTATCTATCTATCTATCTATCTATCTATCTATCTATCTATCTATCTATCTATCTATCTATCTATCTATCTATCTATCTATCTATCTATCTATCTATCTATCTATCTATCTATCTATCTATCTATCTATCTATCTATCTATCTATCTATCTATCTATCTAGCTATCTATCTATCTATCTATCTATCTATCTATCTATCTATCTATCTATCTATCTATTATCTATCTATCTATCTATCTATCTATCTATCTATCTATCTATCTATCTATCTATCTATCTATCTATCTATCTATCTTATCTATCTATCTATCTATCTATCTATCTATCTATCTATCTATCTATCTATCTATCTATCTATCTATCTATCTATCTATCTATCTATCTATCTATCTATCTATCTATCTATCTATCTATCTATCTATCTATCTATCTATCTATCTATCTATCTATCTATCTATCTATCTATCTATCTATCTATCTATCTATCTATTATCTATCTATCTATCTATCTATCTATCTATCTATCTATCTATCTATCTATCTATCTATCTATCTATCTATCTATCTATCTATCTATCTATCTATCTATCTATCTATCTATCTATCTATCTATCTATCTATCTATCTATCTATCTATCTATCTATCTATCTATCTATCTATCTATCTATCTATCTATCTATCTATCTATCTATCTATCTATCTATCTATCTATCTATCTATCTATCTATCTATCTATCTATCTATCTATCTATCTATCCTTTATATTTCCATTTTTATCCAAACAAACATAAAAGTACATAAATTATTATTATAATTATTTAAACACAACATGCAATGTTAGAATACTGTTAGAAAACAAAAAGAATTAAAAAATTTATAAATTAGAAAAAAGAAAAACTTTTTCTTTATTTAAAAAACAACCATTAACAACAAAATTACTTACGCTTTCGAGGGGTACATTCTGCGCTCATTATTATTTTGTTTTTGTATTAAAAGTATTGTTGGTTTGTTTTGTAGTGTGAATATAGTGTATGTAAGTGTTTTTTGTTTTTAATAATGTAAATTGTTTTCACCACAACCATTTTAAATTGTTTTTTTTTTTAAATATAAAATAATATACACATATTTTCCAAAAAAAAAATAGAAACGAGGGGGAAGAAAAACAGAAAATTATAAGTAAAAATTTGTATTTAGCCATTATCCATAGAGAATTATGAAATTAAATGATAAATGGGTGAGTGACGTGATTAGATACAGCATGATGAAGTGTGAGCACAAAAGATAAATAAAACAGGAATTGATATGGTAAAAGGGTTTTTATATCAAACGGAAGGGAGTCTCTTTAACACCAGAAAGTTAAAGGGGAATTTACAAATTAATAAATTTAATAAGAAAAAAACTTACATTTTCCTGCAAACGCAAACTTAAGCCGCGCACCTCTTCATTGGCATTTTCCAATTGATGGGAAATTTCCAAATACGAACGACGCAGCTGCATGAGTTCAGTTTGTATAGCAAAGCTAAAGCAAGAAACAAAAATTAATTGTTATCCTTATAATTCAAATCTTATTAACCTACCTAGTCTCCTCTTCCTCGGCCCTTGACACCTGACCTCTGACCAAACGATCTGCCAATTCAGCCGACTCAGCCTCTAGCAATTCATTGCGTTGCTTAAGTAAACGATTTTCTCTTCTTAAACGTCTTAGTTCTACCATTTCTTCCTGTTCTTTTTTCTTTACATCCTGATATTCTTTTTCCATTTTCTTCATACGTTTTGTATTGATTTTAATGGAATATGCCAATTGAAAGAAAGCCTCTGGATCAGCTTCTACTTTTTTGGGTAATTCTTTTTGGAAAAATTTCAACATAGCTTCCATATCCAAAGAGAGTAAAGTATCTTTACCCAATAGTAGTAAAGCCAATGCAACTTTGAATATGAATTCCATGCCTTCGCTGAGGAAAACATCCATAATACGTGATGAGATATTTAGATTTAATGAAGTTGTATAGAGAGTAAGGAACCAACTGGAAGCATACATGGTAGTTTGGAAACCCTAGAGGAGAGAAGGTGGAAGAGAAACAATGTTTATTTGTAGACTATAGACTAGACTAAAGAATAGACTATAGGCAAGACTATAGACTAAATTATAGACTAGACCATAGACTAGACTATAGACTAGACTATAGACTAGACTATAAACTAGACTACAGAATAGACTATAGACTATACTATAGACTAGTCTATAGACTAGACTATAGACTAGACTATAGACTAGACTATAGACTAGACTATAGACTAGACTATAGACTAGACTATAGACTAGACTATAGACTAGTCTAGTCTAGACTATAGACTAGACTATAGACTAGACTATAGACTAGACTATAGACTAGACTATAGACTAGACTATAGACTAGACTATAGACTAGACTATAGACTAGACTATAGACTAGACTATAGACTAGACTATAGACTAGACTATAGACTAGACTATAGACTAGACTATAGACTAGACTATAGACTAGACTATAGACTAGACTATAGACTAGACTATAGACTAGACTATAGACTAGACTATAGACTAGACTATAGACTAGACTATAGACTAGACTATAGACTAGACTATAGACTAGACTATAGACTAGACCATAGACTAGACTATAGACTGGACTATAGACTAGAATATAGAATAGACTATAGACTAGACTATTGACTAGACTAACAAAGTTCAAGAATCTAAACTCTTCATAAATTATAATCTTATCTTCTCCACCTAACCTACCTGTTGTTGGAAGTGTATATGCATTTCTGGTATCTGTTCGAGCACCAAATTTTCCAATTGATACATGCACAAACCCAGTTCCGACATCGATGGCTTAAACATATCACGCATACGATGCTGTTGCATTATTTGAACCAAAACAGCAAAAGCCTCTTCCTCGGGCATTTGCATGAGTAGAAGACCAACAATAAAACCCGAACCCTGGCAATAGCCGACCTCACGATCATGTAAAGAATAGGCTTTGATAACATTAAATAAAGCCTCTTGACCGGGGCCATCTTTTTCCTTAAAGAAATCCACCTCGGGATAAGTACGGGCGATATCACGTCGTATCACCTTTTCACAAGCCGAGGTGGCCTTAATATATTCGGCATATTGTTTTTTATCAGCATCATTAGCACCGCAAAGCTGTTGCCAAACAATGGCTCTGAAAATCAAGAAATGTAAACAAATTAAAATCGTTAATTTAAAGACCTTTTAAAATCAAGAACTCACCTAAAATGATGTGGTATACCACGTCGTACTAGTTCTCTGACACAGGGATTTTTACGTTTTAAAGCTCCCTCCCAATCATTTAATATGGTGGCCCAAGTGGTCCAGATGTCCTCCTCGGCCACGGAATTGCCATCTGTTTTTTATTAAAAATAAAAGTTATTATTAAAAGAGTTTCTTATCGTTAAAATTTATTTTACTAAAACTCACTTGATGTTATACTTATTTGACTAGTATCGGAATTTTTACGACTGTGTGTGGAATGCAATGAGTTTAGGGATTTTGCATCACTTTCAATCAGCTTATTGGCTGCCTCTAATTTTGCTAATAAATCCATTTCGGAGGTGGGTAAATTCTCTTCAGCTGTAGCACATTTAACATCCATTTTTTTACTGCTACTACTAATAGTTTCCTGTGTATTATTGGCTGTTGTAGCGCTGGCAGTTGTAAGGGTCATTGCCAATATATTTCCTTTATTAGTTATTTTTAAATTTTGTAATTTTTGGGAAAATATTTCTGTTTGTGAATTACTTTTCTTTTTATATTGAAGAAAACAAATTTGTTTTTATTTTCTTCTTAAGATATTTTCCCCCAAAAAATATTGTTTTTATTTCCTGGTTTGGAAATTTAATAATAATTTAAACATGATCCCCTGTGTTTTCGTTGGTTTGTATTGTTTCAGGAAATAATTTTATTGTAAAAGAGTTTTAAAGCTGGAAAATAAAAAAGAAAATTGGCCATGAAAAGTTATTAAATTAATTATGAGTTTGTTAAAAGTTGAGTGTAATTGAAGGTGGCCTTATCAATTTAAAAACTAAATGTAAATTTTAATTTGAAGTCTTTATAGTCTATCTATGTCCTAGTCTATAGTCTAGTCTATAGCTAGTTTATAGTCTAGTCTATAGTCTCGTCTATATCTAGGCTATAGTCTAGTCTATAGTCTGTACCTATAGTCTAGTCTATAGTCTATTCATAGTCTAGTCTATAGTCTAGTCTAAATCTAGTCTATAGTCTATCTATAGTCTAGTCTATAGTCTATTCTATATCTAGTCATAGTCTAGTTCGATGTCTGTCTATGTCTAGTCCTATAGTCTAGTCTATAGTCATAGTCTATAGTCTAGGTCTATAGTCCTAGTCTATAGTCCAGTCTATAGTCTAGTACTATAAGTCTAGTCCTCTAGTCTAGTCATATCTAGTCTATAGTCTGGTCTATAGTCTATTCTTAGTCCCTATCTAATAGTCTAGTCTAATAGTCTAGTCTATAGTCTAGTCTATAGTCTAGTCTATAGTCTAGTCTATAGTCTAGTCTATAGTCTAGTCTATAGTCTAGTCTATAGTCTAGTCTATAGTCTAGTCTATAGTCTAGTCTATAGTCTAGTCTATAGTCTAGTCTATAGTCTAGTCTATAGTCTAGTCTATAGTCTAGTCTATAGTCTAGTCTATAGTCTAGTCTATAGTCTAGTCTATAGTCTAGTCTATAGTCTAGTCTATAGTCTAGTCTATAGTCTAGTCTATAGTCTAGTCTATAGTCTAGTCTATAGTCTAGTCTATAGTCTAGTCTATAGTCTAGTCTATAGTCTAGTCTATAGTAGTTATAGTCTAGTCTATAGTCTAGTCTATAGTCTAGTCTATAGTCTAGTCTATAGTCTAGTCTATAGTCTAGTCTATAGTCTAGTCTATAGTCTAGTCTATAGTCTAGTCTATAGTCTAGTCTATAGTCTAGTCTATAGTCTAGTCTATAGTCTAGTCTATAGTCTAGTCTATAGTCTAGTCTATAGTCTAGTCTATAGTCTAGTCTATAGTCTAGTCTATAGTCTAGTCTATAGTCTAGTCTATAGTCTAGTCTATAGTCTAGTCTATAGTCTAGTCTATAGTCTAGTCTATAGTCTAGTCTATAGTCTAGTCTATAGTCTAGTCTATAGTCTAGTCTATAGTCTAGTCTATAGTCTAGTCTATAGTCTAGTCTATAGTAGTCTATAGTCTAGTCTATAGTCTAGTCTATAGTCTAGTCTATAGTCTAGTCTATAGTCTAGTCTATAGTCTAGTCTATAGTCTAGTCTATAGTCTATAGTCTAGTCTATAGTCTAGTCTATAGTCTAGTCTATAGTCTAGTCTATAGTCTAGTCTATAGTCTAGTCTATAGTCTAGTCTATACTCTAGTCTATAGTCTAGTCTATAGTCTAGTCTTTAGTCTAGTCTATAGTCTAGTCTATAGTCTAGTCTTTAGTCTAGTCTATAGTCTAGTCTATAGTCTAGTCTATAGTCTAGTCTATAGTCTAGTCTATAGTTTAGTCTATAGTCTAGTCTATAGTCTAGTCTATAGTCTAGTCTATAGTCTAGTCTATAGTCTAGTCTATAGTCTAGTCTATAGTCTAGTCTATAGTCTAGTCTATAGTCTAGTCTATAGTCTAGTCTATAGTCTAGTCTATAGTCTAGTCTATAGTCTAGTCTATAGTCTAGTCTATAGTCTAGTCTATAGTCTAGTCTATAGTCTAGTCTATAGTCTAGTCTACTGGGGGAATAATTTCTCCCTAGTTGTTATCAAAACCAGTAGTATTCACTAACCATTACCAAATTGTTGACATCTGATTTGTCATTCTAAGTTTTACATCAATAATCCGTATCTTCTAAGGTAGTCTAAAACGTCAAATTGTAGTCATTAAATTCTAAAACTTTTGACTCTTAATATAATCAATTTATCGGAAATATAAAAGAGAATCGGTTCTCTAGTTAAAGTTTTAATACCAAGAGCAGATTTAAATTAAACCAACAAAAACGTCTTTACTATACGAACTCTCCTGAGCGAGTGAAGTTTTCAATCCTTAATATAAACAAAATTCTAAGCAAACTGCATTGACAACTTTCTTTACTCTTAAAGTATGAGAAACACACAAAAACAACTAAATTGTTAATGACCTAAATTTTGCGGTTAAATAAACAAAACACTTATTTACAAAAAAAGCCGCCGGTCTAAACAAAAAAAGATGAGCCCCCAATTGTTTATATCAAAAAAAAAAAAAAAGTAATTGGTCTTTTTTTGTCTTTCCCACCAACAAACACTAATAATGCACAAAAATAAAAGCAGTTTAAAGAGCATAAATAACAATAATAAAATAAAAAAACGCTTTTGGCATTAATATTTAATTGTGTTGTATTTTGAACAAAAATAACCTTGGCCAACAAAACAATAAAAAAATAGTTAACATTTTGGAACTAAAACAAAATATATAAATATAAACAAAAAAACAAATGAAGGAATGACATAAAAAGGGAAATAGGAAAATTACTTTTTATAAAAAATAATAATTGATAAACGAAAGGATAACACGACAAAAAAAGGACAAATTAATGTAGGTCAAGTTTATTAATAATAACGATTTTTATCAACTAATGTTTTTAGGTTAACGGCTGACAAACAAAACTAATAAACAAAATACTACTACATAGGCTGTTGTCTATTTAATTGTTTAATGATTTCTTATATGTGTTATACAAAAAAAACAAACCATCTAATAAATCATTTTTAAACGTCAACGTCATATACTTAATAGTTATTTATCATTTTCCATGATTCACTTTCTCCAAACGTCATTAATTCTGTAATTTCCAATCACTCACTGTACATGCAGACATTTAAATTTAAAGAAAAAATGTTTTGAAAATTTCATTAAATGATTATTTATCTAAATTACCAACTAACTAATTTACTACATATTAAAATTTTGTGTTTTTTTTAAGTAAATTAAAAAGTTTAGACACTTATTAATTTTTTTGTTTTAATATTGCTTAAAGCGTAAAGCCTCTTGGGGAATAGGAAAGTAACTTCTTGGCGTCGTAGTTTTTCTGTAATTTCTCTAATGTCTGTTTAACTACTAAAGTATAATTAGTCTTATTTTTTTAAATAAATAAAAATGAAAAATATATAAAATAAATAAACAATGTGGGCAGTGAATGTGATACACTGCAAAAAAGGAATTTTCTTATTTTAAACAAATAGGGAATGATTTAATAATATTCTCTTAAATTATTTACAAAATTTATTTAATACATAAGACGGTATTTTGTGCTTAAATTGAAAATTATTTGAAATCAATTCTATTCGAAATGTTAAATTAGAAGGAGTTTGATATAGATTTTATAACAATTAGTGGAATCCCTGAACTTCTAAAAACAATTGATTATTTCATATAAAAAGAGCTGTACATTCTTCTAAAGAACTTCTGCAATATCTGTTATTAAAGCATGGAAGATCGATCTGAAATTCAGTCATCTATACTATATCTATCTATCTATCTATCTATCTATCTATCTATCTATCTATCTATCTATCTATCTATCTATCTATCTATCTATCTATCTATCTATCTATCTATCTATCTATCTATCTATCTATCTATCTACTATCTATCTATCTATCTATCTATCTATCTATCTATCTATCTATCTATCTATCTATCTATCTATCTATCTATCTATCTATCTATCTATCTATCTATCTATATCTATCTATCTATCTATCTATCTATCTATCTATCTATCTATCTATCTATCTATCTATCTAATCTATCTCAAATAAACTAAACTAAACTATCTATCTATCTATCTATCTATCTATCTATCTATCTATCTATATATCTATCTATCTATCTATCTATCTCTATATCTATCTATCTATCTATCTATCTATCTATCTATCTATCTATCTATCTATCTATCTATCTATCTACCTATCTATCTATCTATCTATCGATCTATCTATCTATCTATCTATCTATCTATCTATCTATCTATCTATCTATCTATCTATCTATCTTCATCTACTATCTATCTATATCTATCTATATCTATCTATCTATCTATCTATCTATCTATCTATCTATCTATCTATCCTATCTATCTATCTATCTATCTATCTATCTATCTATCTATCTATCTATCTACCTATCTATCTATCTATCTATCTATCTTCTATCTATCTATCTATCTATCTATCTATCTATCTATCTATCTATCTATCTATCTATCTATCTACTATCTATCATCTATCTATCTATATTCTATCTATCTATCATCTATCTATCTATCTATCTATCTATCTATCTATCTACTATCTATCTATCTATCTATCTATCTATCTATCGATCTATCTATCTATCTATCTATCTATCTACATCTATCTATCTATCTATATCTATCTATATCTATCTATCTATCTATCTATCTATCTATCTATCTATCTATCTATCTATCTATCTATCTAT